GAGGATACCAGATACATTAGGAGGAGAATATTAGTTTTACAAGAATAACATAAAAGAGCTTGTAATGAGGAAAAATTAAAGAAATAAGCTAACATTAAACTCTGTTGTGAATAAATAATGGATAGAGTTGGAAAATATGGGTGTAGTAACGATCATAAGATTATTAAAACTCGTAAAAAATATAAAAATTATAAAAAATGAAGAAAAACACCTTATAAAGAATATAGAAAAAATAGGTTTAGAAAACCAAATAAATATTTCAGAAATCGAAAACAGTTTAAACAATAAACAAAACAACAAGAATACTGTCCTAAAGGAAAGACAAATTGTAGATGTTGGTTATGTGATGAAGAAGGACATTACGCAAATAAATGTCCTAAAAAAATTCTAATACTAGAAATCAAGAAGTCCTTAGATTGGCAGACGACTGTGGTTTTGAACCAATCGAAGAAACAGATTTTGAACTTTCTGATGTAGAAATTATTGAATATATTTCAGACTCAGAGACTTCTTCAAATGAGTCAGAAGAAGGTACTAACTAAAGGAAATCCTAATGCAACATTTATTAAAATTAAAATAGAAAAGAAAAACTTTTTAGCATACATTAATACAGGAGCAACTCTATGTTTTGCCAAAAAATCAACCATAAAAAAATGGGATAAACTTGAAAAACCTCTAAAAATTGTAGTAGTAGAATCTATTCATGAAATATATTATGTAAAACAATATGTACCGATAATCATTGAAAAACATTTCTTTACAGCCTAAACAATCTATCAACATGACTCCGAATTAGATATAATAATAGGAAATAACTTTCTAAAATTATATCAACCGTTCATCCAAAGGATTAAAACAATTAGCCTCATATGTCCTAAAACAATAAACCAAGAATCTAAGATAATCACAACTAGAATAATCACTAAAAACGAAGTATTAAAAATTGTACTTCAAAACCTCAAAAATAGACTAGAATATGTATAAATTACCTATGGCATTATAGAGGATACGTTAGACCAGGTGTGTAGTGAACATCCTTTAGATAAAGATAAAAATAACAATAAGAAAATTATTGAAATTAAACTAAAAGATCCTAAAACGGAAGTTAATATTCCAAATAAAATTCAATATACTCAACGATTTGTGGAAGAATTCCAAAAGGAATGTTCAGAATTAGTTGAAAAGGGTACGAGAAAGCAAAAGCCCTCATAGTGCACCAGCCTTCTATGTAGAAAATAATAACGAAATCAAAAGAGGAAAAAGAAGAATGATAATAAACTATAAAAAAAACTAAACGAACAAACAATAGAAGATAACTATAAATTACCCCGGAAAGACTATATACTAGAAAGATTAAAAGGTCAGACGTGATTTAGTAGTTTAGATGCTAAATCAGGATATTGACAACTTCGTCTACATGAGAATACCAAACCTTTTACAGCTTTTTCATGTCCACCACAAAACATTACGAATGGAATGTTCTTCCATTTGGAATGAAACAAGTATCAGCTATTTACCAACGTTTTATGGACGGTTTTCAATCGTTCTGTTTAGCATACATTGATTACATCATCATTTTCACTAACCAATAAGAGGAAGATCATTGTGAAAATTTTTTGATAGTTTTACAAAGAATAAAGGAAAAGGTCTAATTATTTCTAAGAAAAAATCGAAACTTCTTCAAAGGGAAATTGAATATCTTGGTATGATGATTAATAATTTCGGCGAAATTGAGTTGTCACCAAACACCAAAAAAAAAAAATGATAAATTCCCAACCCAACTTGAGAATAGAAAACAAATTCAACGTTTTCTTGGATGTTTAAATTATATTAGTGACCAAGGATTTTTAAAAGATTTAGCAAAAGAAAGAAAACATTTACAGGAAAAAAATTTCCTGGCAAAATCCCTTGGTCATGGAATGATCAAGATACAAAAATAGTTTTATCGATGAAGGAAAAATGTCACCATTTACCAAAATTATATAACCCTTGTGAAAACGATTTTCTAATAATTCAAACGGATGCCTCTAAGGATACTTGGGTTGGATGCATGTTAGCAATATAAAATGGCAAAGAATTATTACAAATGGACAATTTTGGTAATATCAAAATTGAAAATAATGAGGCTACTGCCTCTTGCCAAAAGCCTAAAGATTATCAGTCTACGGACAATATTATTGGACCTTCGGATTCTCAATTATTAGTTCCTTTCAACAGTGATAAATATATTAAGAAATTATGTAAATATATTTCTGGCACATTTACCGCCACTGAACAGAACTATCAGATCCATGAATTAGAGACACTAGCTTGTCTCCGAACATTGAAAAAGTGGAATCTTGAATTATTATCCACGAGGTTTGAACTTCAAACCGATTCTAAATATGTAACAGGTTTTTGAAGGTACAAGCTACAAGCAGATTTCAACAAAGGGAGATTAATCAGGTGGTAGCAACAACTCCATTATTACAATCCTTATCTGAAGTATATCAAGTCCAGCAACAATCCATTCACCGACACACTAACTCGAGAATGGAAGGATTAATAAAGACCCTCATTAATCAGCTAAAGCAAAAATAGGAAAACAGTACAACATTGGAACACCAACTTCTCCTTTGCAGGGAGAGGAAGAAGCAATAATTCAATCAATCAATGTTATTCAGCAACAGTTAAAGGTCAACTACATCGACGTCAATATTCTATCAATTAGCTCTGCTAATGGACAGTCATCAACACCCACCACAGAACTTGCCGAAAAAGAAAAGTCGGCATCAACACAATCATCTACTACTACCATCAATAATACACAAAAGACGACACAATGAGCAGAAATCTTTGAACAAGAAGAAAATGAAGGAAGAGATTCCCACTATGAAGACGACGACAGAAAAGGCAGCAAGTGGTATGTCATATTCAATGGACCATATCGAGGAGTATATCACAACTGGGCCATCGCTAGTCAGCACATAAATGACAAACCAGTCCAACATCAATCATTTAAAAATAAAAGAAGCAGCCGAAGAAGCATTTAGACAGTCATACAAGGTGATGGCATTGAAAGAACCAATCAAGAATCAAGAGCAACAATCGCAGAAACTTATCATGAAGATACCTAGTATCAAAAGCATCCCAGCCACCAAAGAAAAAGAATAACAATTAAAACCAGTCTTTCAGAAGTTCGTATCCAACTGGGATATGATAATCAACTACGAAGAAAAACACACAATCATGGGTTTTTACCCTGTCAGTCGAGGAGGACCCAAAGCAGTAATCACAGAAGAAGCATCACCAGAACTCTCTTTTGAGTTCTATTAGTATGGATTAATTGACACAATCTACACTACAACCATGAAAGTATTTGAATACTTCCCACAAAGAATGAGGAACGTAATCAGAAGATACCTTGAGCTATTCGCTAAAGAACGAGAAATATTTCTCAAGTATACAAGCAGCTACCCCATATTCGATCCAGACAAGCTATTTGTCGGATCAAAGGCAGTTATCCTTATGGGAGTATCAAATCATGATTATCCTACCAGAGATGACCTACGAGATTATGAGAAGAACCCAGAGTACCAAGTAAAGGGTCTTCTAGCAGTATGCAGAGCATTAACCAAGATTGAACCAGAAAATCATATCAAAGTCAATTACAGCAACCCCGATGCCATCATCACCAGCAAAACTAGAGGAAACATGACCAAAGAAGAATGGACAATCATAACAGATAAAAATAAAGAATTCACTGAAATTAATGGAAATATGTCAGCCCTCCCTATCCAAATCAAGAAACAGCTTTGCAATGCACTTACTATCTATAAGGACCACTTCTGTGAGTGGTGTGCATCAACTGACGAAGACATCAATGGACCAGCAGACCAAGACTGAGAGAAGCATGTGAAGAAAGAGGAATCAAACAAATATGGGATAAAACAACAAGAAAAGGTTGACTGACTCCTTTTTAAAAAAGTCGTGCATTATTGTATTTTATAAGTTTTTCTTATCGTTTTCACGTGCTTTCTTTTGACATGTTAGCTTTACGTCCCTATCTCACAGACGTAAGCAATGACGTCTTTGTATTTCCTCCCAGCTCTATATAAGAGCAAGAGTTTGCAATGAAATAAGGCAGATAGAGTTTGGCCATAAAAATTGCATGTTTACTCTCTCTCTCTCTCTCCCTCTAGCTTGCTACTTGTAAGGCGTGGATCCACTGATCCTGGAGGCCACAACCACCATCAATATAATCAAACGTACGGAGAGCAGCTACAATCATCAAGCGATCATAAAAAAAACTCAGGATTTCCTCAGAAAAACAAGTCAAGTATGTCTAATAATCCTACCTCAAGTTATTTTGACTATTTGAACAAAAACGATGATGAAAACTACTTCTTAGATGGTGTTATAGACATCAAGAAAATTAGAGAAAAAACTAATTTTACTATTTCGGAAACTCAAAACTTTATCACGAAGTCTTTTGTATCAAAACTCTTTGATAGATAAAACATTATTAAATACGGTAAAATGATAGGTGAAATAGCAGTCCCTATTGATCAAACTAAGGGCGATTTTCTTATCCAAGTAATAAATAAAGAACAAATTAAAAAAAATTTAGCTAAACTAAGATTAGAAGAACGAAATAAAATACCTTATATTCATATTAGTACAATCCAAATTATCTTAAAATCAACCATGAAAATAGGAATTGACGCACCATGGAATTAGAAATTCGTGATGATAGACTCATTAATGAAGAGGAAAGTATTATTGTCAAAGGAACGGGAAATTTAGGAGTAGGTATAATTAAATTTGATATTAACCTACAATAAGGATTGGACCTAGCAGATGGTAACCTGGACTCTTTTATTATTATAAAATATGAATTAAAAAAAAATTTATGAAAGAAAATAACAAACTATTTTCAGTAACTTATCAAATAAACTATGGCTAACCAATAGTCACCACGGTTTAACCTTAAAAATAAAGAAGTAATTGCTTTATTTAAACCATTAAAATAGACATCTCTTCAATTAATCCAATCTGCTCCTTTTGCTTCTGTTCCCCGCCTTCCAAGATGCAACTCACTACTCTACCTCGCCCACCAGCCATTCCTCTTCCAAACCCTATTTTCCGGCGCTTTTACAGTCCCCAATCACTGGGTTTCTTTCACAGGCCGCTCCCTGCTGCTTGTAGTTTGCTCACGAGTCACGCCCCGCCGTATTTACGTCGCCGCAACTTTCTCTTCCGGAAGTAGTAAGGACGACGTCGGGAATCTGTTTCGGAACAATTGCAGCATTGGGGAGAGCCAGGAGGAGAGCGTGAATGAAGGTGGTGAGCATGGCGGAAAATCGTTGGCGGAGGTGGCGGCGGGAACCGTAGAGGGGCTGGAGAACCAGAGCTTCTGGAATCAAATCAAGGAGATTGCCATGTTCACTGGGCCTGCTACTGGGCTTTGGTTGTGTGGACCCTTGATGAGTCTCATCGACACTGTTGTCATTGGTCAGGGAAGCTCCCTTGAGCTTGCAGCTTTACGTAATTACTGACTACTAGCTTCTTTGTTGTTTATGAATGAACGAAATGGTTGCCATTGATGGGCAATTGACTGAAAAAGTTTGTTCTTTATGTTGATCACAGGACCTGGGACGGTGTTCTGTGATTATATCTGTTACGTGTTCATGTTTCTCTCGGTTGCTACTTCCCTCGCCAGACAGGTTGGTTTTTTTTTTGACAAGCAGGTTTGTTTGATGGCAGCTTTTTGATTGTGGAGCATCTATGGTTGGTTTCGATTAACTTCAATGCTGCTTCATAGGGTTGGTTGGACCAGCAAGTTTCTGAAGGAACGTTCTTGGATTACATTTGTTTACAATTCTCATCTCTCTGCCAATTGTTAATTTCTGTTATTTGACAAAATTCTGTAGGATAAATCAGAAGTGCAGCATCAAATATCAATACTTTTGTTCGTTGGATTGGTATGTGGAGTGTTTATGCTGTTCTTCACGAGGTTATGTGGTTCGTGGGCACCTACTGGTAATGGAGACTGGTAAAGCTTTGATCAGTCCTACATTAGTCATGACTTTTTTGTTCTGTCTTCGTGTAATTCACATTTTCAATTTCTGGGTGGAATTTATGTTGGCCAAATGAATGATGTGTTTTCCTTGTTTCCTTTCTGTCCATATTCTTCAGCTTTTGCAGGACAAAGGAACCTTGATTTAATACCCGCAGCAAATACTTACGTCCAGGACTCCAGGTACTGTACTCAAAGAATTTTTCATTTTTCATGAGGAACATTTGAAGTTCAGAAAAGAAAGAGTGAAAATGTTATGGTGTAATAGTTTTCCGTGGCAAGGATTGGGCGACTTCTTGATGGTACTTGAGTATTATGGTCTAAACTGTGTCATTGTCAACACCCTTCATTGTATCCAAGCTTGTAACTCTGCTAAAGCATCATCTGAGCTTTAAATGTGCGCTACAATGGTAGAATTGGGTAGGAGTAGTTCAAGGGTCTAATTTGTAATGTGGATCTGAATTTTTAGTTAGTCTTAAGTAGGAAGAAAGAGCAATATTTTTTCATTTCTTTCTGGGACTAATGTCCAATTTCTATTTCTTTTCATATCCATAGTCGTAGGCATGAATAAGGTTTTCTGTAAATCGTGGACCTTAAATTTTTAAACCGGAAATTATAGACACTTGTGCTGCAGCTGATTTTTTTTCTTGCAGAATGAGGAACTTCGCCTCAACTTTCCAGACGATGTTCTACTTGCTCATTTTGATCATCAAAGGATTAATGTCTTCTGTTCTTTTCTCCCAGATTCTAGGCTTAGCATGGCCCGCAGTTCTTGTGGGATGGGTTGCTCAAAGTGCTAGGTAGACACTATGGTTTTAGTTACCGCTGCTTTTGTACTCTGTTCCAAGTCACTGCTGCTCTTATGCTTGCTCCTCTTGCAACCGATTCTGAATTGAAATATTTGGCGGTTGATTTTGTGTGCTTCATAATATGAAGCAGTGACATTGAACTTGCTGTTGCCTGCAGTAGAAAGTTTATGGCAATTCCTTTCCTAGCACTTCATCAATATCACTGTTTGATGAATTGTGATGGCAAATATTAAGTTGAATAGCGACAGTGGAAATTAATGTGTCACCACCTGTTTCACTAGGAAAAGAGAGAGAATGGATTGGTTGATTGGTCATGCTTCCATTGTTGTACTATGAAGGATTGATTGATAACTCGTGTTTTAATGGCCTCATCCTGTTTTGCTGTCTTGGAATGAAAGATTCACGGGGTCCTCTGAAAGCTTTAGCAGTTTCTACTCTTGTAAATGGTTTTGGTGATATAGTCCTCTGCAGATTTTTAGGCTATGGTATAGCTGGGCAGCATGGGCCACTATGGTGTCCCAAGTATGTGGATGAGTCCTGATAAATTTCTTTGTTCTTGATTTCTCCCTCTTGAATGTAATCTTATGGCATCTATTTGTAGGTCGTTGCAGCCTTTATGATGATTGACACTCTGAACAAGAAATGCTACAATGCATTAGCAATATCTGTTCCGATGTTTGATGGTCTTTTGCGCATACTTGGGCTTGCTGCTCCAGTGTTTATTACCATGACCTCAAAGGTTCATTTCTATTTTTCATCACTTAAATTTGTTTCATTTTATCTATATGAACCAAACATTGACTTTTCCTGATGTTTGTTGCATTTTATTCCTTCATTTATTTTGCCACATCAATGGGCACACATGGCAGCTAATCAGGTTGTTGGCTGCTCTTGTTGCAGTTTTAGTGTATTTTCTCTTGGTTGTTCTCTCTTTGTTATATTGACATCTGATGGTTCACCTTAGGTCATGAGTCAAGTATTTGGCATGTGTGGTGTGTGGGGCGAGCCTATCTCTCAAACTGCTCAATCTTTTTTGCCTGAGCTAATATATGGATCCAGTCGAAATTTGTCAAAGGTTGGTGATAATGTAGACTTATGTTTGTTTGTGGCATCCTTCCAGTTGTTCTATGTAAAAGTTTATCCTTTCTTGTAGGTTGCTTTCTACTTCTTGTTCTAAAAGTTTTCTATACATAAAAACAGGCATGATCGCTGTTGAGATCCTTAGTCATCATTGGAGATGCACTTGGATTCACATCAGCGGTCATTGGTGCATCTGTTCCTTGGTTTTTCCCAAACCTCTTCACTCCTGATCAAAAAGTAGTACACCAAGTTAGATGATTGTTGTACTTCATGTGCTTTCTTGAATTATCCCTTCCCAATACCTAAGATTGGTCTTGCAACATTGTGCCATAATAAGAGGAGAAAGTACATGAGAACCACCTTCAGTGATAATATTGTTATTGCTCTCTTCTTGTTCTTATTAATGATGGTATCATATAGTTATGTTAATTCCACACTATTATTAGGTTAATCCTTGTGGTTATGATCATACCGAGTAGAACAAGAATGTATCGTTCTCTTTCTGTCTACCAATAATAACTTTTAATGAGAGTACCAAACCAGGTTCCTTGATGTTTGAGTTTGTTGGCTCTTGCAGATGCACGGGGTGTTGCTACCATTCTTTATTGCGTTGGCTGTGACGCCTTGCAACCACAACCTAGAAGGGACATTGATGGTATCTTGTTTCATTGGGTGCTCTATTAGTAATGGTACATCATATACTTCTTGATCAATTTCCACTCTAACCTTTCGAGCATTCATCCATCAGTGACTAATATAAGCTAGTGAGTAGTGACTCTTACCAGGCTGCAAGCAGCAAAGGATTCGGCGATGGAAACGTAACCCACGATTCAAGGGTTTTGCTTGTAACTCACAAGCGAGAGAAAGACGTTGGTGTCTATAAACCTTTGATTTATTAATTTGATACGGAACTAATGCCAAACTTACATATTTATAGAAGAAATAAACCTAATACGTAAACCCTAACTAACCCGTAACCCTAGCCCATCCGGTCACCTACACGACTAAACTCCTAATAAGACTATAACATAACTCGGCCATTATCACATGAATAATTGGCCCATGCAAAAAGCAGGAAGTTGCCATTTTCTGTTTTCATAGTTGGAAATGAATAGAAAACAGAATGAATAGTAAATAAGTTTTCTCGT